GTCAAGGCGACGGGGAAGATTTTTCTTCTTCTTTATCAAACATGAAAAGATGAGTAGATTCATTTTTTTCATTGATTGGTTATTTTCTCGGCTTAAAACATATTCGATTGCTTGAAAAATACTATTGTGGTTTTTAAAACAAATATGTCTTTAAAATGTATTGCTCTGTTGAGATTTTTCAGATCGCCTTCAACCTGTCCATAATTCCCATTGTTTACAAACTCTTTGTTTGTACCATTCTTCACTTCGAACATTTATTCCTCTTTCATTGTATATATTCCTATAAATGATTTCATTTTTGTTTACAAGTTTTGACAATTTCCCCTTCCGGTTTACCCTTCCATTTCAGATCACCCCTTTTCATCTTACATAATCTTGATCCCGTTCTCCCTTCCCGTTCTATCGTGTTTCCTTCATGGATACCTTGTTTTCAGTCAACCGCTATGGAGGAGAGTTCTGGAATCATCGTTTGAGACGAACTCATCTCGACTCTCATGTTGTCCGAGTTTTGAATTTCATTCGTTTTGACAAATGGGCACGTTTTCGTTCCTTGAGTTTCGCGGGGGTTTGCATAACCGAAGATGTATACGCTCGTCTACAGTAAGCCACATTTTTCTGTTTTTGTTTATGGTTATGGTAACATGTATCATGTGGACAACATGAAATATGGTTAAACACCTGAGAACAAAGGGATATTTTGAAATACGATACAAGATACTGTACATAACCGCAAGGTTTATAGAGAAACATACTTGCTTCGAAATCTCCTTCTTTCTTTGAGTAATGTTCGGTCGTATTCCACAAGAACGTTTTACACTAATGTCAAATAAATCATGAGGGAAATGGGCGGAAGGGAGGGCGGGGGTATGAGTAGTACTTGTTATCAGAGGTAAGTCGTCCTTTTCTTCGTTTTATTTGAAAGAAATCACTTACTATGCAAATATATAACATCCATTTTGTCCGCGTTTCTTTTCATGAAAAGAATAGCCTAAAGTATTCTTCGGTGATAACTGATCATGCATTTTTAGCAGGGCCATAAGATAGAAGAAAGAGTTGAATCGCTTCCCGCAATGCTCAGCAAAATTTCCTCATAACCACACCTATCATAACAGTGAATAAGAGTTTTTGTGAAGAAGATATGTTTTGCGGTGCTTCTGGTACACGAACACAATACCTAATAAATTTTGAGTTGACCACTTGATGATTCAAACTTGAAAAGTATATTATCTTCATTGTTATTATTCTATGGTATATATTATCATAAAACAACATGCCATTTCTTCTCGTCAGTGAAATAAAAACAAGCTTACAAGAAGTTTTGATGTTAGTAACTTATTACGTTTTAATTATTGAAAAGAAGACGATGGAAGACCACTACTTATTGGTGAATGGGCTACCCTGATAAAACATTATAGATAAATAAATAAATGAATAAATAAAATAGGGAAAGCCATCATTTTGTGTTATCTAGAATAATCGAAGCAATACAACTTGTTTTCCTGAAGTGTCTTCTTCTGCAACATTCGATGCTTATTTGTTGTTCTGTTCTTGGATTTTCCCTCTCAAAAAATCTTCGGTAAAAAGTCATTCTGAATCTACTTTAGATCGGCGTATAGGAATGCTCAAGATAGACCATTCCACCTAGTAGTCTGCAATATCAGACCTCTTGCTAATTCAAAGGTATTTGATACTTTCTACACTGGCCAGTTAGGCTTTAGATGTACCTCACCAATATTATTATACATGTATTACCATATCATATGTAAATCTAGTCGCTTCTTGCTCAATTCAAGATAACAATTCGGTGTTAACTTGCAGAAAGGTGAGTTGTTTATACCATGAACGTAACGAACTTGTTTGCGTGGTGAGACTGCTCACCATCTAGGTAATGGGACCATTAATCAAATCATATCGATCAACGTTGTGAGCTAGCCTCCTTTGGAAGTGACCCACTTCAAACAGTGACTCAAACACTTCCCCTTCACACTTGCCCGCATTAGATTCATTACCCCAATAAAAATGTTGCATTTGCGATAAATGCCGTACTTACAGCATAGTCTCGCGATCCTCAGACCGCCATTTCCTTCTAAGAGCCCTTTTTTGTTTTGCCTGAAAACAAGACACCCATGCAAAGGCGCCACTTGGCCGTTTTGAAGGGGGACTTGGTCGGACAAAACTTGTTGATATATCTGCTAGACATGCTACTCTCTACGATATAACTTATAACTGATTCAAGTATGTCAAGAGATGCGAAACGCAATAACTATGGAGATGCACATAACAGAAGGAATTTTAGTATCAAAATAAACACATACCGAAGACGAAATAAGAGAAGAAAGATTGGATGTAACTCACAGCTGTTTCAAGTTACGTATGAACACCCCCACCCCCAAACTCGAAACAGGTAACCCAGATATAAAAATATTTAGTTGATGAAACCCATATACAATCTAGGCTATCTTTGTAGAGAACAGAAACGGAGATACGAGGTGAGATTAACATTCAATTTTTTTCAAATAATCTTATTATCATCGTCAACAAGGGAATCAATATCCACGTTTGGAATGAACTTTTGCTATGCATAGATAAATTGTTTGAATGCTGTATCGAGGAAGAAGGAAACTCGCTAGCCCAGACATTGGACAACGGTCTGAAAGGCTGCAACATTTACCCAGACATCAAAATATCTCGAAACCTAATTCGGTAAGGGAATAAATTCCTACATCTGGAGGTGATGATGAATTAATGAAAAAACAGTAGGTGGTGAAATAATCCATTTATAAGCAAGAAATATGAAGACCCGGCCGAACGAGGACCAAATAGATTTTTATTTACAGCTGAGTTGAAGAATACATTGTTCCGAGTTTAGAAACCTTCCCCACACCACCTATTTATCACGATCTGAATTTGTTTGTAAACTTTAAATATTTTATGGCTCACCTTTGATCCTGTCCTATATCTGTCAGAAAAATTAGTTATTTGTTAACCGTAGCGTTTTATCACTATTGCCGAGACACCGTCCATAGAGGGCGCGTACACTATAAATAAAGCCAAACAAAAAAAATGTTGTGACAATAGGAAGCATTACATCCCATCAAACAATTTTGAAGAGAATTCGACCGTTTCAATGACAAGACTATCTTGATACTTCTTAGACCTGATGATGAATGATATATATTAACCTTGTACTTTAATTTGCACATTCGAGCGATAGCAGCTTTATAATTCTACAGCGCGTGGAGCACAATAATGCTCCCCAAATGGACAGTGCTTACTCAGCAGGGAGATTGGAAAATCACTACTAGGTTCTTAGTGTAGGGACCGCTAATTTTGTTACCTTAAATGTGCACGGTAACTTTGCATAATCTATTATAATGCAGTTCCTTCATTATTCACTAGATTTTGTAGATTTAAACATAATTTTGTGTTGTGTTCCCAAAATAATAGTACGATTGAAGGAATCAGGGTTGACAGCCAACAGCATCACTAATAATTTTTAATTTATCTTTTAAATAATTGAACAAAATGCTTCGTCCTGTTGTAAAGAATTGCATTCAACAGTTCCACTTCTCCCCCCTTCTCTCTGCATCTTATCGTCTAATTTTGATTATGCAACAATGTTCATTCCCCCCACGACAGCGTTAAAATCAGCCATCTTCACAACTTGTCCATAAATTCAAAAAACAAAAACAAAAACAATGCCTGAACGGCCATCGGCCACATTAGATACACAAACAATTTCTGAATGTTTTTTTTTGTCTTTCGGCTAATTGATAACATGAAAAAGGCTGTTTGAAGATCACAAATAGCCGAAATTATCTCGAAAATGACAATTTTGGGAATCATGGCACTTGGGGTAAATCTTTCTCATTGCTTCGCCGTGTTTAATACTTTGGAAATATAATTCTGTTTTACTCTTTGTCCTGTCTTGTCAGTTCATGATAGGCTACATATTTAGATTAAACTGAAATCATTTCATATTCACGCAAAAATAAAATGACATCTGAATCACATGAATTTGGTATAAAACGTATCTTCTTTTGTCTTTTATTTTCCATATTTGCATGCCATTTCGTTACGTTAAACATATTCAAATGAAACACACATCACAAACATCATTATTTATATCTTACAAAATAATACAGACACAATAAATTAAAGACAAACACACAAGTATATGGATCGCCGGTCATGTAAATCTCGTGATACATGGAGGGGATAGCGCACGAGATAACAACTTCGTATCGGCTCCGTTTACAGAGTCCACTTTACTTTTCAAATATTTCGAGATCATCTTGGAAAATAGATACAGCCCGCTCTCGAGCACTGAGGCATATATTTGACCAAAAATATGCCAACTTTACAAGAGTCGAGTACTGCATATACTCACATACTCGTGGTTAATAAATGTCAATCATGGGGCTACCTGGGGGCGGAGGCAGAGAGTTTAATGCACTAGGACACGCTTGATAAGTACAAAGTAAATATGGCTAACTTAGGAATAGGGGGCATATTTATGCTCTGAAGATGTACTCGAGTAGTTGTCTCCTATATTTAACTATCTGAAATGCGAGTATAAAGAGTTCATCTGCCGAGTTTGTTTTTACCGATTTTTAATGGCGGATCCGGGGGGAGGAAAAAAGCTTAAGGAAGAGAGGGAAAGAGAGAGAGAGAGAGAGAGAGAGAGAAGGGGGGGGGGCAAGCACACACAGCTGTATTACGAACACAACTAAAATGAGTGACAATTTCAATTAAAAAATAATGGTGTTGATGAAGATGGTTTAGAGGTCATAGTATTGTGCTAACATACCACTGAAAGTCACAAACACTACCACAAACAGAGTCGCAAATGCTTCGGAAGATCAGCAAAAGCCAAGAAAAGTAGATTTATTGCATGCGGTTCTGTTTTACCTTTTTTATTGGGCAACGCGGGAAGCTTTTTAACGTTTTAAGAGACAATCTTCTGTAAGCATTTGCGACGAAGTTTATATATATATATATATATATATAACCCCAAAAGATAAAAACGCATCACAATAAAAAGGTAATAATGACAACAATAAGTACACAAATAAATAAATATGTAACACTAATGTGCGAACGCAATAATAATGATAAAAGATGATTGAAGTAAAAAATACAATGCTAAAAATATTATGGACAAGAAAAGGGAACGTGCTTATGGCCGTAGTTTACAAATTACATCTGGCATAATCGGAATATATAAATATTGCAGCATAACTTTATAAGAGTTTAACCTATCTAGAGGTCTTTTCGCATTGATTTGATTTCATTACGTATGTTAAGTTGCCATATTAAAGTAATGGTTACAATGTTTTCTAGAAAGTCTGGTAGTGAGCGGTGAATTGTAGATGGCGTCGCGTTCTTTAGTAGTTTTTGTAGTCTTTATTGTCTAGTTGAAACGGTTTTAGAGGTACCCTATATCGTCCGAGTACCGGTGACGAGTCTTGCAACGTCGAGTTTAAATTCGTAATTTTGGGGTAAACTTTATGAGTAAAGTCATTATTGGGTTTAACAACACGGTGTCAGATGTCCAATGGTAACTTGTCATGCTACAAGTGATTGTCCAGATGGCATCGTCCTGTCTTTTGATAATAAATATTGTCCGAGTTGAAAATCGATTGGGTGGTATGTGTCCCAGGTAACAATTCATGGTCTAGTCATCCAGATAGTTTTCCTGCGGTGTCTTTGGTACAATCCTGTGTCATTTTTGGGAGTCGCTCTGGCGGTGTCAGTACACTATCATGTCCGATAGGAAAAGTCGAAAGTCTCTAAAGTCCGGTGTCCTCCTCTTCCATATTCTTTCAGGAGATATCTAACGTAGTTAGTCCAATTGGCGATCCATTCTTTTATATACCTCTCTTCCGTTCCATGTCCTACTGCAAAGCCATCAGGTGTCTGTATTGTCCTTTTTCTCAGTGAGGAGCCATTTGGGAAGTTCTCTTCGGTCATTTGCCTTATTGGAGACTCTTTTTGAAGGCATCCCCTTATCATCCAATGGATGAAAGTCATTATGGGCTCTAAAGTCCTCTGTTCTACTGGGAAAGCTATTCATGGTTGTGTTCAGAACTTCAAGGTCCAGTCTCTGCCTGTATCCATCTTGTGACTTTCGGGTCGTCTTTAAAGTCCTGTGTCCCGTTTGAAGTAGTTTTGGAGTGTCTCTTAAGTCCTATGTCCCATTTTAAAGCCACTTGGGTGCATGTTTATTCATGGGTCTCGTTAAGAAATCACTCGGGTACATCTCTATGTGCCTTGTTGCATCGGTAAGTTATTTCAGTGGTATCCATGTAGTCCTGTATCCCAGTGGGGATGTGTTTAATTCGTCATCGTCACATCAAACAGAGAGCTGTCGTAATCGGTTTGCAGGCAAAGAAATAGAGCTAGACGAACATGTAGTCACATTTCCAAGGTCATTCAAAGTTGTCTTTATTGTCATGTACAATTGGAAAATCATTTTAGTGGTGTCCATATATTCTTCAGTCCATAAGTAAAATATCTTGTGCTTTTAGTCCATCTTGTCAAGGAGATCATTCCGAAGGAAGATCGGTCCAATGTAAAAGTCATTCTTGTGGCGTCTCTCAAGTCACGTTTTGGTTGTCCCGTCATTCGTATACCATTATCAGTATAGAGCTCATTGGATGTCTGTCATTTCTCTTGTTCCCGAGCGTATATGATATTATCATAAATATCAAGGCCATTCATATGAAACATACCTCATTTATTTTTGGTCCAATATTGTCTAGATTTTCTCTTATTTCCGGATGTCCAAGTGTCGAACAGTCCGATTTCAATTGTTTAAGTATTGAATTGGCAAGAAAACTCAGTGCAGTTGTTATTGTCAGTCAACGTAGAATGCGCAGGAGAGAGATTTAAAAGTTCTTTCACAAAATTAGGTCGAAATAATTGATAATTACTCGTCTTTGAAAGTCTTGTCTAGGTCAGTTTGGTTTATATCTAAGTTGACAATTCACTGTCTAGTCAACAGCCAAGTTAGCTTTTAATTTAACGTTTAGATCAAGCTAAACATTTTATCTACATCGTTTCTTAATCAAATTAAACAGATTAAATCAGAAAACAAAGTAGCTTTGAGCACTGTTACTGAACCAGTAAGAGGGTGGGTGGGCAAACTCTTTTAATTTCGTCAGCATGGTCACGTATAACCTTTGAGGTAAATCCTTGTACCATTTATTGGCTCTGGAGTAGGTAGTACACAACGTCAGTAGTGCATAATTTAGTTTATTCAGGTAATAAGCAACGTGCCACGTAATTTTATAAATATGGAATGAATGTCAAAGCGTCAGTATAGTCTATAGTCAAAAAGTCAAGTTTTTTGTCACGTAAAGTCACGTAAGCGGTGTTTGTGATGAAGGGTGTAAAGAAAGAAAAGTCCTCTCCTAACGTGTCATCGTCGAAACCATATGAATATCTTTTTCAAATGGAATACTGCTTATCCGATGAAAAAAATATGTTTATATTACTAACATTATCAACAGTGAAAAACAAGAGGTTTCGTGACCTTGATGTAAATTTAATGTTGCGGTCGTAAGATCTTTCCTCTGTTCTAAATGTAAGTAATCCCGTTTTCTAATGGAAACTTTGGTTGCATGACATCGTGTCTTTCAACTACGATCAGCTTATCTGCTCTAAGCTCAAGTCTTGGCCCTGATTTAAAGGTTAATAAGAAAAAGTATGTCGATCATAAAATTTGTCGTCTGCATCGAGTTTTATGTTGTCGAACATTTATGTTTAGTCCATCAGTATTTATTTTCATGAAATCAAATGGAAATTGGTCGTCTAGAAATTAGGGTAGATGTAGCACAAAATAGGGTTTTCTTGTCCGTCTCGTACACGTAAAATCAAAGCAATTTCCAAACGATTTAAGTGCTCCCAAATGACGATGTCCGTGTAGGAATAGCAGTGATTGTCCATGTCCTTCTAGTGTGGTAGTTCATATTCATTTAGCAAGAGTCAAGTCAAATGATGATCTGGACCTCGAAGTGATGTCCGACCATTATATCAGCCTGTCGCTACATGGATATCACATTGTTATCAGCAGTCTGGTTGTCAGTATCATGTCCCATGTCTCTTTTCCCTTGTTATAACATTTTATTTTGACGAAAAACAACGTATTTTTAAAATATAAATTATAACTAGCATAAAGGGATTGTGGTATTTATTCATAAATATGACTGCTCAAGATAGTCGGCGAGTCATTCACAAATATGTAAGGTGAACATAAAACATTCTCCTGTCGATGTTATACAAAGTTTTTTACTAATTTTAAACCGTATATTCTTCAGGATTAAAAAAAATTGATTTGCATAGTAAACCTCTGTTTTGTAACACGAAGTCAGGTCATATGAGGTAAAGTCAGTCGGGGGTACATATCCCAGTCAAACGACAGCCCACAATACGGACAATGTCGGTTATGGTGAATCCCAAGAGATGTCGAAGGTCTCATGGGCCGTCGGTCTCGCTAGCTGTCGGTCCATGGAGCTTCTGTTACAATTCAAAGGATTATGAGACCAAAATTTCTGTCTCATTGGCTGTTGGTCTCGTGGGCCATGGGTCTCACAGGCTGCAGCCGAAGTAGGTAGTCGTAAGATGAGGTCATATGTCTAGGGACCGTTCAGTTACGAATAGTACGTCCCGTGATGTCAGGGTTGTATAGTTTCCAGTCGGTTATAGAAAGTGTACAGTTTATGTTGCGAGGGAATGTTGTAAGACCTTGGAATCTATGCGACGTCAGGGTCGTGATAGGTTCCTATGAAAAATGCATGAACATCAATCTTCAAATATCTAACCCTACTTTTAGCATAACGGCATTGTGGACTACACACATGCACATGAAACAGTTTAATAGTCTGATGATACAACAACAAAAAATGAACTACGAATATTAAAGACACCAGGGCCCTGTCTTACAAACAGTTGCGATTGATCGCAACTTATTTGCGATTGATATCAATCGTAACTATGTACATAAGAGATAGGAGACTGCAAATTTGCGATTGATTGGAGGACTTGGAATTGATTCGAATCAATCGCAATTCGTTATAAGACGGGGCCCAGGTTTGACTTTGTAAAGGGAATACAGACAAAATAATACCTGAACATTGTAAGGTTCTGACAAAAGTAAAAATAACCCTGCAATAATTCTTTTGAATATCATTTAAAGATTTCGTATCAAGCCCTTAAATTGCTACTTTGCTATGGCAATGACAGTTAATCTTATAAATTTGGATAAAAATGGTTTCTAAGCAACTTTATGATCTGTTTTATTTGTGTGGACGTCACCTAGTTGCTTCCTCACTACAACCGCATCGTTGTTACAACTCTTAGATCTTGTTCTGAAAGATTTCCGTATTTCCTTTCAAATATGAGATATATGTGAATGCTATAATACGTAAAGCTGTATCCGATTTATTGGTATATTATATGTAATTTCCTATACATCAATTACTTCGCAAAAATATATCTACATAATTTGATATCTGGCACTTAATGAATAATTTTGTTTCAAGACATTATAAGCAGCTCATTTGTTTTTCGGTCTTCTGTACATTGATCTGGTCTGGGGTTTGGGTTTGGTTGAAGATCTACACGAAGTGATGCCGAAGATCTTCTTAAAGGCTTTCCTAAAGTTACTGTTACACAATGGATAGATAAAGGGGTTCATGGTTGAGTTCAAGTATCCCAGCCATATCAGAGCATAGTGGACATTCGGGTTTACACAGGTCGGACAGTAAGCGATAACCATGAAGGAGATGAAATACGGTAGCCAACATGTGATGAAACAACTGACAATGATACCTAGCTGTTTGGCAGCTTTTCGTTCTTTGTTTAACGAGAAGCGTTTGATGCGATCCCGTAGGAACTCACTTGTCTTCCCATGCCGAATACTAAACCTTGCAAAGGAGAATCGACCGGCGACCCCACCGTTCTTTACTTGAGCTTTAGGTATAGCCCGACTGGGAGACAAATTATCCGGGCTTATATTATCAGTTGGAAGAAGGTGAGTAGGGCTGGAGCTCTCTTTGTTATACCTAACTCCCCGGTACTTAGGGCTTGTTGTCTTTCTTTCGTCGTAAGAGTTTCTTCGCAATGGTTCAAGTTCTTCTTTGGATGCAACCGAATCAACAGTAAATGAAATTCTCCTTTTCGCCGTCCCATTTGGAGCACGATCCGGACATAAAAACGCTTCTTCTTGCCGGAGAATGGACTTGTTATGTGATACATTACCGTTTATTTCTTTCATTTGAATGATCTCACCGTCCAACTGTGGATCAACAGTGCCACTCGAAGTGCTATTAGATGGTTCTTTTATCATTGGAACATGAATCGTTTCTATTCTGGGTCTGTTGTTCTCTTCAGGCAGAATTCTTTTTACTTGCTTTATAGCGAGCGCTTCCTTTTCGGCCCTTTTCCTCTTAAGTATCCGCTGCCCCGAGGGCACACCCATCATACTTGGACCTACTATACCCGCAAGACCCATAGTTGCTAATGTTAAGTGCGAGATGTTCTTTAACTGATGATCAACCTCTCCTTTCTTTATACGTTTAGCAGCGATATTTGGTGGACACGATTCGCTCTGGTCAGCGTATTCCTGTGAGGTGTCTTTGCTTGTGCTTAATGAATCGTAGTCTGGTATCCACGAAGCATTTTGTTCTTCCACTTCTTCCGGTTCCTCATTTGAAGGAGTGTTTGGACAAACATCGACCGCCACGGGTAACGGAATCATATGAGCAGAGTGTCTGATCGAATATTTTTTGTTACCGCTAGACCTTTGCCCGACACACATTTTGGACCTTGTCTTGATTTCATAAAATATCTTCCCATAAACGAAAAGCATGGACACTAACGGAATGTAGAAATTGAGTATTGCTGTCAGGACTTTAAATATTATATTGGAGCCGAATTCCGTGTCGCACTCGTCGGACGGGACACCCCTGGGTTCGCCATCCCGTTCAAAGTAATGCCAGCCCCACACCGGTACGATCCATGAAAAAGAAAGACACCAAGCCAAGCTTATCATAAGCATGGCGCGACGTGGAGTTCTTTTCTTCATGTATTTTAACGGGGAGCTGATTGACCAGTACCGGTCGAGACTGAGAATGAAGAGATTGAATATGGAAGCCGTACAGGTGACGTAGTCGACGGTTAACCATGTTTCGCACACGATGAGACCGAGTATCCATTTGCCTTCCACAAAGTAGATAATACTTAACGGCATCACGAGGGTTCCAATGAGTAGGTCCGCAACAGCAAGACTGAGAATGAAATAATTGCTCACTGTTCGAAGTCGTCGGTCCGTTCGTACCGCAACGATCACCAGGGCGTTGCCAATGCAGGTGATAAGGCTTACAAACGACATGGCGGTAACTATTGGTATGATCACTCGTAGAGGGCGCTTCACGACACTGGGCGATACTGCGCTTTCGTTGAAGCTGCTCTCGTTTATGGGGTAGCCTGAATAACCACTGTAATCCTCCTCACTAAACAGTTGAGGAGAAGTACTCGCGTGATCGATGTTCAGATAAGTTTCGCCTAATTTACCTAATCCAGACGCCATATTGGAGTCTTTTCGCGGGGTCTCTTCGAGAAATTACTCACATCAGTGTGTATCCATTCTACGGGAAAATCATCGACACGTGCACTTCAGTCAATCCAACCACTTGATAAAGCGTATGTTATCTTTCCTTTAAGATAAGAAAGCGTAGAAGGTATTTTTAACGTTCATCGGGCTGAAAAGCGCTCTTCTTTCATGTTGTATCAGCGTCGCGAGATCTTGTCTTGTGACATCGTGTAATCTGAAATGAAATAAGAACAACAAAATGCACATTACTTATCATATAAGAATATATTCTGCATGAATTGAATATGTATTGTTACACACAATTTAATATCTGTCTGTAGGAACTCGCTCACGAATCCTAAAGCGCTGTGTGTCTTATCGTAAAGAGAAGGCGCTATAGAAATGCTCGGTACTGTCATTAAGAACATGGCAACAGAGGAGTTACGTCTGAAAGTAACCTGTTTGAACCAAGAAGCGAAATACATGTAGACAGGGACATACGGAGAAAGATCGAGAGAAGGAAAAGGGAAAGGATAATTGGGAGGTTGGATAGAAAAGGTGAAATTATATTCATGCCATGTGAAAGGTCAGGCAGAAATAACTGAAGAGGGATAAATCAAAGGAATGTGACATGCTAGGGGAAGTACATGTATGATTAGAAAGCAAGAGAGAGAGAGAGAGAGAGAGAGAGGGGGAGAGAGGGGAGAGAGAGAGAGAGAGAGAGAGGAAGAGTGTGAGTTAGGGAAAGAGGAGAGGGGGGGGGAGAGAGATTTATTTTCTTTCAAGAAGCACCAATCTTCCGCCCATTTCTCCTAATGACACCAGACAGGTCAAGATGAGGGACCCATATTCTCGTCCTCGGGCGAGTGGTCAATGTCCAGTGTGGTGTCGATAACAAGAACTGCCATGTGATCATGATGACGAGCAACCTAGATAGAATCTAAAAGTTCACATTAGTCACGCTTGATGTTTACCATTCTGATCATATAGAAAGGAAGTTATGAAAGACGAGAGCAATGGTTCTGTCTTGAAATATTTAGGTGTTTGTCTCGAACAGCACATGGAGACTTGGAGGTTACTATCGTAGACAGTAGACTGTCATCCATGCAAGCGAACTTTGCCCAATTTGAATGACTCAATGACAAGGCTGTACCTTATTAAAAGGAAGGCAAGATAAGCCAGCATTGTCTCATCCCAACAAAAGGAATGTCATATATTTTGCTTGTAAATGAGCCTTTTCTTGAGTCTCTTAAACATATAATCAATGCGAATATGATATGTCAGCAATGGTTTTCGGACTGAAATAACAATATGAAAGGGCTTTTAATTGACCCACATTCATTGCTTTAGCCCAGACTCGGTACAAGAGGATTTTGACAGCATTTGTTGAAAAGTGTGATGCTTAGTCATCCATTGCAACATAGTTATGAATGGGGAATCATTAGACATAATATTAGTTACTCTTAAAAGTGAAATACAATTCAAGGTCGAATAGGTTATAACTTTTCAATAGGAATCTGTTGGGTATATTTTTTCAATATAATCCACAATAGAATCCACTTTTGTCATGCACCAAGCTAAATCTTTCCGATTTCCCTTTTTCTATCTTTGCAAACAAGTAAGCACCATTGACTTAATCAATATGAAGATAAAAGAATGGACGTTGCATTAATTGAGAGCTGAAGCAAGTTAATATCATTTTTTTTCTCCATGAAATCAGTTATGACCATAGTAATGTATGTGGCGTGTCAATAAAAATGGAACTCTGTGCGGGTGAAAATGTGTTTTATTGCCCGTAGTGCAACGATGATGGAAGGTTCATCTCATCTATTCAAGAAGAATACATTTTAAAGAAATGTCCAAACAATTCATTGTTAGCTACTTCCGTTCTGTTTTATATAGTCCAATACTGGGTTAAATACCAGTATGGTAGCCTTAACCGGGAAAAGTCATACTTCAAGGACCAACAGACCGATCATCTATCTCAGAGCGACAAGTGTTGTAATTTACTTCCTTCGATTCATTGACATGTAGATCATGCCGATGAGTTTTCCAGCAAAGTCTCACTCGATATCTCCGTGTTCGACGTTCCAAATCAATGAATCTGGTTTGGTCCTGTTTCGCGTCTGTATTACAGATAACCCATGGGAAGTAAAGAACGAGACAGTGCGTAACGTCTAATTGACTCATGGTTGATAGCATTACAACGCATGGGAAATAAGATGGCATGTACAATTCACAACGTTTGAGACAACTACATGAGCCCAGAGAGTCTTCGTTCATTCGATATGTCTCGTCTTAAAATGACTTTAGCTGGAAACCTCACTTAGCCATTTTCTTTTCTAGTGTACTTCGTGGTTGTCGATAAGTATGAATTGCTATATACCTTAAACAACCACGCCCACCTTTCTAAATGTGTGTTGTGTAATGTAATAATTAGTGTTCAAGAAATATGTAATAAAATATATATAATCCTTCCTATGAGTTTTTGCATTTCTGGTATACCACTGTTACTAGGCTGTTACTAGTGCTGCAATACCTACATTACGATTAATTGTTGGTGTCGCTATGGATCAACTTGCAACTTGCAATAATTAAGGGTGTAAAAAAAACTCTCGTAACTAGCGGAGCCGATATGATTTTGAATCGCCTTGAGCACTTTGCGTGGTGGATATGTGTTCTAATTCTCTTAATCACCTAAAATCACCCAAATAAGTATTATTTCATTATATTCATTGTGAACAATTCTAAATAACACATCACAAAACACCGCCATTTCGCCTCGTTCGCTTTCTACAAATGTCAAAAATCTTCCGATCGTGAACTGTATTTTCCGGTTCTTCTTCCAATCTAGGTAAAACTCCTTCCAGTTGTATCTTTATCAACACTTAAATAGATCTCGGTTGTACCGTCAACAGGGCACTAAGTAATTTAAGTAGAGTAGTTTCATCAGATAACCTAATAGTCCAGTCCACGTCAGGATGTTAAAAGCAAAAATATTTGATAAATGTCTTATTTTTAGTTAATCATATTTACTTCCTCCGTTGATTGGGAACGCCATGATTGATTCTGTTGCGACTATACGTTGACAGGTAAATTTATCTTGGAAGTTGTGTTAAAATATAATTGCATTAATGGACTATTCCTTCATGAAGACGTTTTCCACTCAGGTAGCCAATGGATATGAGCTTTAATAGAAACCTTTCGGGAGATAGAAACCGTGACTAAAAAAAACGAGGTCACAAGAACGGGAACATGTACGCTTACAGAAGGTTCTTGGTTTTACTGTAAGAATAATTATAGAGTATTAAAGCAGGACTGCACTACTTATAGCTATTTGCGCCCTTTATATAGCAAACAAGTCCTAAGCGGTACCCGATGGTCCCCCATGATCCCCTTATTCTTATGTTAATTGAGAGCTGATTTGATGAGATAAGAACCTGCCAGTGACCATGCAGGGAGGTCTAATCTTTCCTGTCTTCAATGCATGGATGTTAATTATAAGTTTACTGTATGTTCGCCATTTAGATTCACATTTTCATATTTTCTTTACAAAGATATTTCGATATCTCGGGGGAAAACACGTAGTCCTTTCCCCGAACCCTCCCCCCCAAAAAAAAAATTATAATAAATTAATTAATAAATTAATCAAAGAGAGAGCACCGTTTATTAAGTCTGGGAGAGATAATCTGGCTTTCTTTCCCAATTTTTTTCTCATTTACATGTATTATTGTTGAGAATCACCAGCATTTTGTTTTCGTCAGTTTGTTAGGAAGCATCACGTTAATATCCTTACGGGTTGCCTTCTTGCTTCAATAATTAACAACTGATCATTATCTAATATGATACTTTATTTTAATGATTTCAGTTGAATTTGAACTGAATTGAATTGGACTGAATTATTCCTTTTAAAGCCCAAAACAACTCCATCCTAAAAACGGAGTGACCCTTTGAGAGGTTATTTTCCGTAGAAACTCTTCCCTGTTGTTGTCACCTTTCCTTCAACTCTCATACCTGCACAAAAAAATATTTAAGAACAGAAGCTATAATTTGACTCTAATACTGCCTGTATTTTTCTTTGTAAACATCCTCCCAGGGGATGTGAAACTATAATTCAGTGGTAACTTCATACTCAATTTATACTCGACCTATTAATAAAGTGACACTTGATTTATTTTCCCATGTCACTCTCTCTCTCTCTCTCTCTTTCTTTCCCCTTTTTAATCAGTTTATTCATTACATCTAACAGAGTTTGACAGCAAATTACGTTGAATAACAAACTTCTTTCAAAGTAGGGAATCAAAACAATGCGATTCTGGTTCAAGAATAGTTTTGCCGGTGTCTCTTTGCGGTCCAAATGCATTCGTGTCAAATGATCAAATTTATCAGAAATGAAAACCTAATAATAATTGTTCATCATTTCAAAGGAATTGTTTGTGATTTGTCAATTCCAGCTAGATGAAAATATGCTTAGACGGAAAATAGGCAGGATTCATAATTGATGTTTATATTAAACTTCCTCTTATAGAAAACTCGTATCTACATGTATAAAACAACATGGCCCTTTAGGAATTTGATATGTTGTTTGTCCAAATTTTAGACTCACCTTATCCTACCTGTAAAATACAATCTTGAAAATATCAGGTATAATATGAATACGATATAAAATCAGCCTGCATTTGTATCTTTACTTCACCGGGTATGAACTCTGTTCAGATGCAATATTCAATCTAGTAACTGATGATTAAACATTAATTTATTCACTTTCTCCTTCACTCTATCTGCCTTTCATCTGTCTCTTTCATTCTTTACAGCTATATTTTACAGTGTGTGACATTTTAGGTTGAAAAATTAATTTTCATTCCACGAAACGGAAAATAAATAGGTTCGACTCCGAGGTCGGTCCAAGGCGATCCTTGTCTTGTGGAAATACATTATGTCAAATTGATATAATATTTATATCGTAAAAGGACAGGGAATTGTTGTTTCCTTTTGTTTAATCGAAGACAGTTGTATAATTATTATAATGGTCACAGTCGTGTATATTCGGCTATTTCTACTCAATCTTTTATCTGCTTGTTATTATTCAACTTAGATTATCAGTAAGCAAGCAACTATACGGTCTATGCTTACCATGTCTTTTAAAGAGCTCATACATTGTATATTGTATCTGTTCCAAAAGCTAATTTATCGATGATATCATGACACAGTAAGCAACTAGGCCACAGCT